TATAGTGGCACCACTGCCTTTCAATGAACAGTTGGATTTCTATTGCAGGTTTAGCAACTTGCAGGGACTTGCAAATGCAACACAATTTTGCCCTGAGTACAAGACACACAAAGCACAAATACACAGTAAGCAAAACAGAAGACAGAAGAAAAAAAAAACAAGAATATGCTGAAAATTCTTTCCTCAAGTTAAGAAAACATTAATTTGTATTTTTAAGGCCACAGCAGATTCCTGCAGGTGAACTCTGGTGTATGTGGAGCAAATAGGTGATAAAAACCTATGTCTGTTTGCACAGGAAATCTCTTAACAGCTTAGCTATCTACAACAGCCTGTTACCAGAGCCACCCTTGACCGTGATGATGCTGGACATCACTATCAGCAGCAGTAGAGCAACAGTGGAGGTGGCAGCTCTTGTTTAACAGGTCATGAGCTACTTTTAAATGGCTTATGTACAATTAGTGGTACACACACTGATGTTTGGGAACCCCACTCTAAAACAAAGCCAGAGAAAGCATTCAACTTGCTCTGGATTTGGACTAATAGGGGTCCAATCATACAGCAATATAAATGTTGGGGTTTTTTCAGAGCTAGGAATTAGAATTAGATAGGCAATTTTCTGTTCATTTGCAGAAAAAAAACCCCAGCTTAATTACTCAGCCCACCTCCATTTCTCAGTAAAACCTTCCATCTCAACTTTCTCTTTTCATGGGATTCACTGCCTCTTTAATGAAGTCACAGAAATATATGACAGTTTCTTGCACTGAAGCAAGGCCTGCTTGCTGATAATCAAAAAAATCCTCTTGATGGATACTGAATTAATGCTCTACTCCACAATTTCTTGACTGCAGTGTTAAACAAAAACACCATGTTGCCAACCCCTCCTTGCATACAGAGGCCATCTCTGCTGTGCTCAGCTCAGTGACTGGCACAGATTGTCCAGGCAGGTTCTAGAGCACCCATCCTTGGAGATACTCAAAAGCCACCTGGACACAGTTCTGGGCAACCAGCTCAAAGAAGCCCTGCTTTAGCAGGGTGGTTGGACCACATGACCTTCAGAAGTCCCTTCCAACCTCAACCACCTTGTGACTGTAAATAAACTGTCCCACTGAAATCAAGTGAGTCTCTGACGTGTGCTTTACTCAAGATGTCACTCTTTTCTCTTTTCCACCAAGCTACTTACCTAAAGACATTCCCTGGGTCCTTGAAATTCAGCGCTTTCACAGAGAAGTTCAAGAGAGGGCGGGACAGCTTGGTGGCCAACATGTTTTCAACTGGCACACTCTACCAAAAGCAAAACTGCTCTTCCTTAGCTCTGCAACATAAGATAGCACCTCTGTTTTAGTTGCTCAATTATTTTGTAAGACGTGCTGACTCCATGTATTTCAACAGTAAAATAAAGTCCAAAGGAACTCATCTTCTCCCCTTGCAGTCCCTCACACAGAGATAAACAGCTCAACCTTCAGCCACCCAAGATGCCTTTAAATAAGAAAAAAGCATTATAAGTAAACTACCAAGCAAGGAGATATTTAAAGAAAAAGTAATTTTCTCCTTCTTCAATGCATCTTTAATCGAACATATTTTTCTCTGAAACAGGTAAAAATTAAGGTACTCATATGGAATATATTATTTCAAATGAACTATATGAAATAACTCTAAACAAAATATACCTTCAAGTCAGAGATGATGTCATATGTTTCCAAAGCAATCCTTGGCTTTACAGCTAGCACAGCCATGCAGTTAAAAATACAATTTTTTGTAATTAAGTAGTTGGTGATGCTGGACTAAGCACAGGGAACTACCAATAAACTCAATACCGAGTGAAAACATCTCAAGGACAAGACTTCGGTACCGAAAGACAACTTCAATCATATTTATCTTGGATAAAATTAACCCAAGGTACAAAAAGCATCTCCCAGCCCACTTATTGAAGCTGAGAAAGGGTATCTATTTGTCAGGGGTATGTTGCATCTTTGCCGAAGGCTGGGCCGCCACCGCGGCAGCTTCGGGGCCTGCTGGAAACCAGGCCTGGGCTGAAAAACAGTGAGATTACCGCAGAAAGAGCAGCGGTGAGCACCGCTGAGAGATGGAGAGGGAGGGAGCGGACAGGGCTCAGGAGGCTCGCTGGCTCGGCTAATCCTTAGAAATCCCGATGGTTTGATCAAGTTCGGGGACACGGTTGGTGTCCCTGCAGGTCTTTGTGAGGTGTGCAGGGAGGGGGCAAGGCCCGAGGTCCGTTGCAGGTCCCGCCGGCCCGGCCCGGGCCAGCCCCTCTCCGGGACGCGG